GTTTATATATTTATATATTATATATGTAATTATAAATTTATAAATTTATAATACTGTTAATTATTTCTATTTTTATATTTATTTCTTATTATAATCACCTCTTGTATTACTTATTTAATTATATATATTATATATTTATATATATTGTTTATTTTCTTTTATTTCCTAATTCACTTTTATTTTTTCGACTTTCTTTGATTTCGGTGTTTACTTTTGGTTCAACCTTCTACACAGTTTGACGTCAACCATTCACTCTTTGGTGAAAACTCTAGGGCCGAAAGCAGGCTTATGTGATTTCCTAATTGTTGCCAGGGAAGCATAAACTTTTATGAAGCCTGTGCAGCTTATATTGCCCATTTTATCCACTCTCCTCCAAAATTGGTCCCTGTCTATTTGGTATCTCGCGTCATTTCTTCCACAATTAACCTAATTATTTATCATTCTTTATTCTTATTTTCTCTTCTTTCTGTTGATCTCCATATTAATTTCTTCTTTTTTTATTCCGTGTTCCTATTTTCCAAAATCCTAGTATATTTATTTTTTACATTTCCATCTACTGATTATTTAGTTTTATAAAGGGGATTTTCAGTGAAATTTTAGTGCATTTCCTAACAGACTCTTCTTCCCATTATTAGGTGTTTATACAAAGGAGACAATGAAGTCATGTAAAGGCCTACAAGCACACAAAGCATTTTTCTCTCTCATCAATGATTTGACCTCAAGCGATAGGCCTTCTTCAGCTGTTTCATCTGCTTGAAGACACTTGGGATAAAGTGAGTTGGATCCGGGATTGTTTGCCTGTAAATTTGAATAATGATAAATCAGATTGTTACAAAAAGTAAAATTGCTTTTTAGAGTATGTGACTACTACCAACACCTAATGTCGACAATGTTGACCTTGTTTGGCCTTGGTAGGTAGTGTAGATGAATAGAGTTTGAAAGTGTTTATCTGTCTCTGGAATTTGAAAAGGTGTAAAATATTAATATATAGATCAAAGAAATGTACTGAACAGACGTAAACATTTTCCAGCAGGCGCCCAAGCAATCACATCAGTGTTCGCACGTTTCATGGCCTGTTCCCATTGCTTCCATTTTTCGGGTTTCTTCTCGCGTCTGGGAATATATGAACGGTTAAACCTTTCTTTCCCATCATGTAGTGGTTCGTACAACCAACAGCAACATAGCTCCTCGGCATTTTCAAGCAAAGAAACAATTATCGGAAAAAATTCAGGGGCTTTGTGAGTAAAACGCAGTGAGTTTTCGAACAAACGTGGGTTTGTTTTCACCAAGTGCTCGTTGCTAGGGGCGGTTGCTAGGTGTTACTGAATCAGTGTATATATATAATATATATATATATATATATATTATATATATATATATACTGATATATACGGAATAACAAAAGACTTTTCAAAAGCTTGGTACAGTTTTTAAAGATCGCAGACTTGGTAGTGAAACGAAAGTTAGAGTATTGGACTGTAACGTCAATTCGGTTTTACTATATGGCAGTGAATGCTGGACAATACCAGCGCAAATGGAAAAAAAGGCTGGAGGCCACAGAGACGTGGTTCTTTAGGAGAATACTACGAATTTCATGGACTGACTACGTGACCAATCAGGAAATATTGCAAAGAGTGGGACGAAAGAAAACACTGATATGACACTTAGAAGAAGGCAGCTAGAATTTCTTGGTCATGTCATGAGAAAAGAGGGCATGGAAAATTCAACATTGACTGGGCGTATTGAAGGAAGGCGAAGCAGGGGGAGGCAGCGACTGACACTCATGGGCAGTTTGTCTGGATGGTTGGGGCAGTATGTCAACAGTGAGAAGGTTACAGCGAAGGAATTAGTCAGAGAGCCCAGAGAGATTTAATCAGCATAGCGAGTACAAAAGGTTTGACACCTGGGTTGAACACCTAAGGGGCCAAGTGCTGCAACTGTGGTATTCGCGAGGGGGCGCTTCTCAAACTACCCCGAAAAATTGTTTTATATCAGCATACTCGAGTACATCTTCCAAACCTATGCTAGATTAATCTTCACTGGGGTCTGATTAAGGATCCGTCATTCTTGTGAACACGTTGTGGGTTTGGCCACTTAAGAACGACCTAATTAATGCTAATTATCACCTTTAATCAGCATGTTGAGTACATCAGTGAAACCTTTGCAGAATATACCTTAAGGAATGTTGATATCATATTGGTAATTCTTAAGTGTCGGTTTTGTGGAAAAAGCCACTTAAGAGGTCAAAGGTAGTGACCCGCCCAAATTCCGTCTTCCGGTACCTTTAAAATGACTGCTACTCCCTTACTATTTGGAGTGCTGGGTCAAGATTGGACTTCAAATGTAGATTTTAATGGGAGGAATAAGGATCCCTTGTTTAATCATCCATTCTCGGGTACCGTTATTACACAAAACAAAACAAAAGATTGAAAAAAACGGGTACCCTTTTTACTCCCACTGGCTTTAAAGTTTTATCAGCACGGTTGAGTACATCCATGAAACCTACACCAAAATGTTCCTCTACCAACACATAATAAGAATCAATCATTCTTGCGTCAAAATTTTGGACAAATCCACTTAAGAACGACGGACAGCTCAACAAAGTGCA